GCGCACAGCAACGAAGAGTAGCCCCCGCTCACCGCAACTAGAGAAAGCCCGCATGCAGCAAAGAAGACCCAACGCAGCCAAAAATAAATAAATAAAATAAATAAATAATAATTTAAAAAAAAGAAATCAGATCAATTCATGTTATTAGTAAGGAAAAATAACCATGGTATATTAAAGGGTAAAAATAAAGCACTGTAAATTTTAAAAAGGGAATAAATGTGGAACTAGGAAAAAATAATAGACTCTCCACCAGGGGCTGATATGAAATCTAGAGTTAGTTACGTTCCTGCATCTTTACCATCCAAAAGTAGGATGTGTGTCAGAGCTGCACCCAGGTGATGGCACTCGGTTCAGAAGAGGTAGAGTCACTTGCATTAGTCTCACCATCCTCACCCTGAAGCTGACTATCCAGAAAGGAGGGTGACCTGTTTTATTTATACCCTTAAGGATGAATAAAAGATAGAATATAGAGATTTCACTGATTGCAGGAGGAATTCAGGTTCATTAAAAAAGAAAACTTTAGATTATAACCATTGATAAAGACTGAGTGAAGTTATAAAATCTCACTGCCAAGTTGAATGCCCACAGTAAACAACCATCAATTTGAACACCAGATTACTTACTGCCAAGAGCCAAGAACATAGAAAACATAATACTGTGAAATATTAAAATTCTATCATTTTGCCAAAGTTATAATAAAAAGAAAAAAATTAACATTTTTGTATCGTAGACCACCCCAGTCTTCCAGAAGAACTTTGGATTCTTACAAATTATGTATTTCATCCTTTGGTAATTAGTTTTTTTTTTTTTTCCTTTTCTAATACTATAGTTTCACAGCAGGATTTGCTTTGGTTATGATAGCAATGAGACAGATTTTCAAAAAAGTAATGTCTTGATTAAGCACAGAATAAAGTAAAAAGCATTAACAAATAGTCACCACCATCCAAAAACTGGAAACTAAGGAAGTTCTCATCTTAGTGAAAATATAATGAGAGCTCCTTTATGCCCATGTGCCGACCTGTCTACTGCCCATCACACCTTCAAATATACACCTATTTTCTACTACTACTTTAAAGAAAAACTGCTTTGGTACCCTGAAGAGTGTCAGTGTACAAATATCAACCAGTTCCAATTTGGAAACCTTTCTAGAAAATTTATTGTCGATTCTATAAAGACATGATTTGCTGACATGGTAACATTTTGTCAAGTCAATTAATTAAGGTATGCAAAAAGAATCCTTTGTGAGAATTACAAGGGCAAAGTAGATACTCTATCAAAGCTATTTCTAAGGATGAAATGAATGGCAGTTGTTGAATGTTTGGCGGTCACCCTCACCCCCTTAGGCATTCTCACCCCTACTCAGGATTCACTTGTTCACAGACATGCTCTTCCTTTCTCCCTGCAATCCTGTATCTGTCCTCCCCCTACAAGACTATATATATATATATATATATATATATATATATATGTTTTAAAACCCTTTTGTCTCTTACACCATGGATACCTAAAGACAAACCATCTGAGATACCTACTGATTAAAGCAAGCACAAGGTGGGATTTCCCTGGTGGTCCAGTGAGTAAGACTCCGCCCTTCCAATGTGGGGGGCGGGGGGAGCCCGGGTTCGATCCCTGGTCGGCGAACTAGATCCCGCATGCATGCTGCAACTAGGAGTCCACATGCCTCAACTAAGAAGTCTGCATGCTGCAACTAAAGATTCTGTGTGCCACAACTGAGACCCAGCGCAGCATAAATAAATAAATAATAAATAAAAATAAATATTAAAAAAAAAAGGCAAGCACAAGGTTACTAACCAGGTATACCTTTCTGCACCCTCCAACAAGCTAGGCAGACAACAAAGACTAGTGTTCACCGACCTCACCTAACACATGTTATTAACGTGAAGAAAGGCAGCCTCATGATTTATTCATCTCTTATTTCCATTTAAAGTGCACTTGCAAAAATACTCCTGTCAGAAAAATTACCGTCAAAACTCAGATTGTCATTCTGTATCAAGGACATCTCGGAATGGAAAAATGAATGTCTACTCCTCAGGACTGCTTCCTCCCATACAAATCCCCTGGGACACAGTTTATTCAGGGAGATTCCCAGATGTCCAGGAAACACACATCTTCAGCCATCACCCCATTATTTAAGGGTTCAACTGACTCTTTAGGCACTAAACCAAAAGAAACTGATTAGACTCTAAAGACAAATTACTGGCATTTCCCTGCTTCTGATATTATTACCAGGGATGATTCATTTTACCTGTCAACTTGGCTGGGCCATGGTGCCCAGATATTTGGTCAAACATTATTCTGGATATTGCCATGAAGGTGTCTTTTGGATCAGATTAACGTTTAAGGCAGTGGGCTTTGAGTAAAGCAGACTGCCCTCTCTAATGTGGGTGGACCTCACCCAATCAACTGAAAGCCTTAAAAGAACAAAGGCTGACCTCCCCCAAGCAAGAAGGAATTCTGCCAGCAGACTGCCTCTGCATCTGAACTGCAATTCTTCTTAAATTTCCAGCCTGCTGGTCTACCCCAATGGATTATTTTTAATCTATCTTTTTGATTGGCCAAACCTGCACGATTACATGATCCAATTCCTTAAGCCAATCTCACTCTATCAATCTATATCTATCTATCTATCTATATATATATATACACACACCCACACAGTGGGTGTGTTGACTCTGTTTCTCTGGAGAATTCTGACTAGTAACTATCCAAAAGAAAACAAGACTTTGCCTTGAAATTTATTTAAAAGGCATATGGTTTATTTGAAGATCAACAATCAATAATATTAACTAAATCAACAAACAGTCTAAGAAAAGCTAATAAATTCCTGATGTGGAGACTTCCTAGTTCTTCACCACACAGTTTCATTTAATTTTCCAAAAGACTGGTAAGAGACACTGCTTTATCCAAATAAGAGAAAATGACTTGTTCAAAAAAAAAAAATGCTTGAGACTAAAAGCCAAGATGAAATATTAAAATATTTATTAGCATCTCTGAAGATGTACAATAGGTTAGCACATACACAGACACACACAAATATGTACAGGGCAACTTTCCCTAGAAAATTCATAAAGAATAAAATAAAGGTATAACTGACTATCCTTTATAAATTATTATTGATCTTGAATCATTATTTGCATTGCTTTCCCAACTTCTCCTAGGAAATCAGAAGAGTAATAAGAAGTACCGCGGTAAAAAATAACAAATAGATTTGGTCTTTGTTCCTGGTTCCCCACACAGAGCTCCTAGAACCCCTGGGATTTCCTGAGTGGTAGGAGTGTCTTTTGTCCTTCATAAGGAGACCCCTTTGAGCATACCTAAATTTATGCAAATGGGGTGACATAGGGCAGGATCCCTAAATAGCCTCAGGCTGGGGCTGGTCACCAGAAAGACCAAGTGTTTAAGGGACTGGAACTTTCAACCACACAGACCTGTGAGAAAGGGAAGAGGGGGCTACAAATTAAGCTCTATAGTCTCTTGAACAAGATCTGATGAGCTTCTGGGTTGGTGAACATGCCAGGAGGGTGGCCAACTCCATGGCGACAGAAGCTCCTGGCCTTGGGACCATTCCAGATGTACTTCTCCACCTGGCTGTTCTTCTGTGACCTCTATATATCCTTTATAATAACATGGCAAAAATAAGTAAATGTTTCTCTGTTCTGTGAGCCACTCTAACAAACCAGGAATCCAAGGAGGAGGGTGTGGGAACTTCCAATTTATAGCCAGTTGGTCAGAAGCACAGGTAACATCCCAGACTTGTGATTGGCAGCTGAAGTGGGGGGCAGTCTTATAGGACTGAATCCTTAACCTGCGGGGCCTGATGCTATCTCCAGACAGTGTCAGGATTGAATTAAATTTGTCGGACACCCAGGCAGTGTCGCTGAGACCTGGAGAACTGCTGGGTGATGTTAGGAAAACAACATCAGAAGCACTGAGACCTCAAGAAGCAGTGACCTGACCGAACAAATTTCTTCGCATCAAAGAATCACCTGATCTTCAAAATGCTAATTACTGGGGTTTATAAAGACTCCCATTGATGATGCTAGCACCACAAGAGGGCCTAGGTCAAAACAACCATGGTTGCAATTCATCTTTTTTGTTGTTGTATATGAAAGGAAAGGATAAAGAGGAGAGGACTAACAAGTGGCAGGTGGAGACAGAGGCATGCACATTTAACAGGGAACCTAATAGATTTATTTCAGTTGATCATCTGCAGCTGTCGTTATATCACTTTACAAGTCCTCCACATCTATCTACGGTAGTGGGTCTCAAAGTATGGTCCCCAGTTCAATAACATCGATACCACCAGGAAATCTCAAAATGCACATTCTCGGTTGCTACCTCAGACTTACTGAATCATTCTCTGGGGAAGGAGACCAGGAATCTCTACTTTAATGCACGATTCTGATGCACACTAAAGCTTGAGAACCAGCCATCTCCAGTAGAGTCAAATACTTTGAACTATGAGACACAACTGGATCAGGAAATTCTAGAAACTGAGTGGCAGAATTCTACACATCACTGTGGATCATGTGGAGGAAATCTGATTAATATTAACCCTCCTTTTTTGTAAGGCATTTATTCAAAAATGCTTTCCCAATACCAACTGATATTACTTAAGAATTTTCCAGTGCTCTAGAATTCTCAGTCCATCCACAAGGCTGCTTTGTACCCAACAAGACAGAACAATAGCAAAAGTTTTTAGGAAGAATGAGGATATACTCCCAGGCAAAACTCACAGGCTGAGTGTACCACATTATAAATAGCTAAGCTTTGAATTAAGTTTTTTAATTCTCCCATCATATAAGATATAAAGTTATTAGTAAAAACTAAAAAGGCCAAGACATATATAATATTTCTACAAAGTTTTCACTTTCCTATATGAGAACTGCCAGCAAGGACAAAATCCTGCCAAAGGAGGCAATTCCTCTGCCAATTTAGTTCAGGCTATTAGCATCCCTTTGTAGAGGGATAATAAATACCTCTAAACTGCTTCATCACGTTCTGATGGTTTTCAATGGCTTCCTTTAAGATCATTTCAGGCTGGTCCATCTTCCACCGCCATTCAGTACCCACTGGATTGGTGTGGTGCCTAGAAAAAAGAGGCAGAAGTTCTAAAGGACTCCCTGCATTAAACCTCAGCTAGTTACCTCCTATGAAGGAGTCCATATAATTATAAAATCAGGGTTGGTTTCCTACAAAAAGCTCAGCTATTTATAGCTGTAGTTTACAACTTATTTTGAGTCATGACACCTAGCAGAGAGGGGTAGATGGCAAGTGCCTGGCCAAGACTGAGACTTACTCGGGACAATATAAAACGTGCAGCCCTCTCGCAGCCATACAACACCAGGCCAACAAGCATCCAGTAACGACCACCAGTAGAATATTGTTGCAAGACCCTCTCTGAGAGGCAGTGCAATGGGAAGACCTAATTGAAATCCCAGAAAGGAACAAAGCAGAAAAAAATGTAGAAAAATTATGGCCAACAATTTTCCAAAGTTAATGAGAAACAATTAACCACAGATCGAAGGAACTCGCAAAACAACAACCAGGGTATTTTGAAAACAGCCTAAGGCTTCCCTGGTGGCACAGTGGTTGAGAGTCCGCCTGCCGATGCAGGAGACACGGGTTCGTGCCCCGGTCCGGGAAGACCCCACATGCCGCGGAGCGGCTGGGCCCGTGAGCCATGGCCACTGAGCCTGCGTGTCCGGAGCCTGTGCTCCGGACGGGAGAGGCCACAACAGCGAGAGGCCCGCGTACCGCAAAAAAAAAAAAAAACAGCCTAAAAATACAGTATCTAAATTAATGAAAACAAAAGAAAATAAGAAAACCTTCAACTTAGAGAAGAAGGACACACTACTTAAGAACAAAGGTTAAAAATTATTTCTGAAAACTCATCAGAAAACAAATAAGCCAGATGAAACTATAATGACACCTGAAAGAATGCATAAAGGAAACAAACTTGTCAACTCAGAATTCTATACCCAGTGCAAATATCTTTCCAAAAATGGAGTAATAAAGACTTTTGCAGGACTTCCCTGGTGGCTCAGTGGTTAAGAAGCCGCCTGCCAATGCAGGGGACACAGGTCAAGCCCTGGTCCGGGAAGATCCCACATGCCGTGGAGCAACTAAGCCCACGTACCACAACTACTGAGCCTGCGCTCTAGAGCCCATGCGCCACAACTACTGAACCAGCGCTCTAGAGCCTGCAAGCCACAACTACTGAGCCCGCGTGCCACAACTACTGAAGCCCACGCACCTAGAGTCCATGCTCCACAACAAGAGAAGCCACCACAATGAGAAGCCCACACACCGCAACAAAGAGTAGCCCCAACTCACTGCAGCTAGAGAAAGCCTGCATGCAGCAACGAAGACCTAATGCATTTTTTTAAAAAAAAAAAAAATTGGCAAGCCCCTGATAAAACTGATCAAGAAAAAAAACAACAAATGCATAAATATAATATTAGGAATGAAAAAGGGGATTAATTACAGAAACAACAGAGCTTTAGGTAAATCTGAGTACAGTGTTGGGCAGAAATTGATTATTACAGATCATCACATATTTGGTCACCATGGCCATTCATTTTTACTTACCGCCAACAGAAGACACATTTATTTGCACACGCCAAGCTCGGGGTAGTTTCCATGCAACGATGGCTTTCAATGCCATAGAACGTATGTTTATAGCAACCTCCTCTCCCTCGGAGCATGGACTGTGAAAGTACAAAACAAACGATAATTTGAATAAAGTCCTCACAGCAAGGAAACAAAACACCAAGGCATCATTTTAAAGAAGAAACCATGCGTTTCGTAAGCATAAGTACCCCTACTGGTAGCTGCATGAGGCAGAAAATTAACATTAAAGCCTTATAGTGTTTTGATGGTGTTTGGGTTTTGATACTGCTCTGGGTTTTCTACAACCTAATGAGATAAATCTATGATTCATTAACTCTGAAAGTTCTATAGGGAGGACCATGGATGCTTTCATTTTCAAATCCACCCAACTGCCTCAAATATTAGTACAATAATATATAATGCCAAAGGAGAGATAAGACAGGCTCTCAGAATAGGGGGGGCGGTGTAGCACTCATCTGAAAGAGTATCTCTGCATTTAACAAAGGAGGGTGGGTTAAGGAATGCAACCTGGAACATATTCTATGTCAACCAAATGGTAGAATTTGAATATACTGAGACTGTTGAGGGGGCAAACAGCATGTACACAAGAAACAGATTATTCCAGAAAAGAACACTATTTAATATGTGATTGGTAAAACCACGGGAAGTGCAGTAAGAAAGGTAATTTGAAGAAACACTGCAGATCAACTCAGGGTTGGAATCACAAGATACTATCAAGCTTCCTGAGGTATCATCAGAAAGATCCGTCTAGGAGCTCTGTGCAAGGTGGGCTTGATTCAGTAAAAGTGAAACCTGTGAGGAGGTTATGCAAGAAAGGTCATGGTGATTTGTCTCAAAACATTAGTGGAGGAAACAGGAAGGGTACTACAGAGGTACAATCAGTGCCATCCCCAATTAGAGGGGCAAAACAGAGGAAGTCATCCAAGATAACTGAGGTTTTGAGCCTAAGTGACTGACATACTATGGAACTAACAATGGGAACAACAGACGAGGAGACATAGATGGAGAGCCTTTACACATATATATCAGTGTATAATATACATCAGTGTACTGATATTACAATGCTGTCCACATAAAATCTACCAGCTTGCTACTGTGTCAGTTGATCACAAAGTCTTATTTTTTGGTCCTGATAAAAGGGGTTCCCCTGTCCATCTCACTTAGTACTTACACTAAGAAAAATAGAGTGAAGGAAAAATATTGTTCAGGATAACTGTTTCTACAAACTCTCTTCCAAGTTCCCAATAAAATATTCATGAAGGCAAACAAAATATTTATATCTTGCAAGTAACACTGAAAACTACAAAGTCCACCACATGCAAAAGTCACAGAGTAATTACCACTAAATATCAACATCACGCCAATGGAGAAACCAAGTTGAAGACTTGCATGTTTCACTCATTATTTAGCAATTAGTTAATGTACTTCAAGCATGCTGTGTACTGAATGTACAATGACTAATACGACAGAGCCCCTACCCATGATCTGTTTGGAGGAAATGGCAAGTAAGCAAGAAAAATGTGCAATACTATTATGACAGTCTGATTGAATCAATTACGATTCTTTTGCAAGCAACAGAAACGGAGTCTGGCTAAAGAGAAAAAGAATTTATTGAAAGGATTTCACAGCTCATAGACCCATTATAAAGGCAAGAACGAAGGAAGGCTGGCAGCGGGACCACCACTCAATCCCCCAGAAGCCATATACTACAGACACCACCCCTCTCTGGATACCATCACCAGCACCATCCCTGAATGGCAGATGCTGCTGCCACCAGCACAAGAATGAGTTCTCCATGTCCCAGTCCCTTTCCATCACTCACTCCACACTCAAAGTCTCCGGCTGAAAAGAATGACTATCCTAGATGACACTTTTATACCCAAGTTGCCACAACGTGGTACCAGGAAACAGTATGTCTTCCTTAGCTTCTGCAGCAGGCAGTGGGCCCTCACATCAAACAAAGCCCATTTAATGGGAAATTCCCCAAACATGAAAACACTCAGATGCTGGGCAAGCAGAGAAAAGGCAAATGTCCAGCATGGTATTACTGGAGCCCATGGGACAGATGACCAACCAGGCTCAGCCTTCCAGGACCAGTGAGAACTCCTCAGAGGTGAGATGCCCAAACTGAATACTGAAAGGCTAAAAGGATAAAGGGACAGACATATGTGAAAAGCATGGCATGTTTTTCTTTTAAAAACTTTTCTGGGCTTCCCTGGTGGCGCAGTGGTTGAGAGTCCGCCTGCCGATGCAGGGGACATGGGTTTGTGCCCCGGTCCAGGAGGATCCCACACGCCGCAGAGCGGCTGGGCCCATGAGCCACGGCCGCTGAGCCTATGCGTCCAAAGCCTGTGCTCCTCAACAGGAGAGGCCACAACGGTGAGAGCCCCGCGTATCGCAAAAAAAAAAAAAAAAAAAAAAAAGTTTTCTGTAAGTTTTACACTTTAGATTTAAGGTCCTGATCCATTTTGAGTTAATTTTGATGTATGTATTTTATGTATGTTTGTGTGTGTGTATGTGTCAGTGTGTGTACTTTTGGTGTATGTGGTTTGGTGGTAGTGGGGTTTTTTTGGTTTTTTGCCTATGGATGTCTAATTTCCCCAGCACCATTAGTTGGAAAGGTTATCCTTCCTCCAAGGAATTGCTTTTGAACCTTTGTAAAAAAATCAATTAAGCATATTTGTGGGTTTGTTTCTGAGATCTCCATTCTGTCCCATTGATCTATGTGTCCGTCCCTCCACCAACACCATACCGTCCTGATTACTGTAGCAATACAGTAAGCTGTAATATCTGGATATATGGTTCCTCTCCTTTTATTCTTCCTCAATATTGTTTAAGCTATTTTACATTCCTGTGCCTTTACTTTTAAATTTTATAATAAGTTGTCTATTTCTACAAAAACCTTCCTGGGATTTTAATAGGAATTGCATTAAACCCACAGATCAATTCAGGCAAAATTGATGTTTTACAATATTGAGTCTTTCAATCCATGAACATTTATTTCAATTTACATTTAGATTTTTATTTACATTTACTTAGATTTTCATTGGTTTCTGATTTGAGATCTTTCCTCATTTCTAATATAAGTATGCATTGCTGGAAATTTCTCTCTGAGCACTGCTTGAGCTGCATCCTATACATCGATATAATTATTTTTTTTTTTACTATCATTCAGTTCTATGTATTTTTTCATTTCCTTTGAGACTTCCTCTTTGACCCAAGGCTTATTCAGAAATGTATGTTTAATTTCCACATATTTAGAGATTTCCCTTTTGTTTCTATTATTGATTTCTAGTTTGATTCCATTATGGTCAGAGAACGCACTCTGTATGATTTTAATACTTATAAATCTGCTGAGGTTTGTTCTATGGCCTAAGACATGGTCTATCTTGGTGAATGTTCCATCGGCACTTGGAAGAAATGCACATCCTCCTGTTGCTGGGTGGTATGTTCTCTATATGTCAACTAGATCCTACTGGTTAACTCTACTGTTGAGATTTTCTAGAGCCTCGTGATTTTCAGTCTAGTACTTCTAGCAGTTGCTGAGAGGCAATTTCAAAGTGACCAACTATAACTGTGGGTTTGGTTTCTTTTGTTTTTTTTCTAATTTCTCCATTCGACTATGTCAGCTTTTGCTTGATTTATTTTGAGCCTCTGATGTTTGGTACATATTCATATAATGTAGATTGATCTTCTTATCATTACAAAATGTCACTCTCTGTCTCTAGTAATTTTCTTTGCTCTGAAGTCTACTTAATCTGGTATTAATACAGGCAATCCTGCTTTTTGGATTACTGTTGGCATGGTGTATATTTTTCTATCATTTTACTCAACCTACCTGTGTCACTGAATTTGAAGTGAGTTTCTTGTAAACAACTTATATTTGGGTCATTTTTTAAATCCACTCTTCCAACCTGTATCATTTGATGGATATATGTAGAATATTTACATCTGAAGTAATTATTTATGAATTAGCCCTAAAATAGTCTACTATTTTATTATTTGTTTCTTGTTCCCTCTGATTCTCATTCCTATTAGTCTTTTCTTGATTTCCTACAGGTTACTTAAACATTTTTAGGATTCCATCTTAATTTTTTTTTGTTTTTGAGTGTATCTCTTTGTATAGTTTTTGTAGTGGTTGTTCTGGGTATAAAAATATACATACTAGTAGACCTATGACAGTCTACCAGTAAAAACATTTTACCACCTTCAAGTGAAGCGTGGAAACATCCCTTCCATTCAGATCTCTTTAATTTTCCCTCTTTTAAATTAAATATTATTGTCTTGAGTATCACATGGTGTTATAATTTTTGTTTCAATCATCAAATATGATTTATAAAAGTTATAAGGAAAATGATCATTTACTGTTTGTACCCATATTTCTGCTCTTTCCATCATTCTGCCTTCCTTTATGGTGCTCTAAGAATCTTTTATCACTTCATTAGGTTGAAGAGCTTCCTTTAGCTGGTCTTTAAGAGAAGATTTGCTAGAAACAGATTCTTTCAGTTTTCTTTCACCTGATAATGTCTTTATTTAATCTTCATTCTTGAAGGATAGTTTTGCCAGTCACAGAAATCATGACTGACAGTTATTTTCTTTCAACACTTGAAAACCATGTGCTGCTTCCCTCTGGCCTCCATGATTTCAGATGAGAAATCTGACATCAAATTGATGTTAGTTCATTGTTTATCTCTAGCATCTTTCAAGACATTTTTCTTCTTTAGTTTTCAGATCATTAATTTTAGGGTATCTCCATGTGGATGTCCTTGGTTCTATCCTGTTTGGAGTTGGCTCTCTCTGCTGTTCAGATTGGGTAAATTCTATTGACTTGTCCTGGTCACAGATCATTCTGTTATTTGGTAAGGTCCCTGACTCTATCCTCTGTCATCTCCACTCTATTACTGTGCCCATTCAGTGAGTTTTTATTTCTGTTATTGTATTTTTTCAATTTTATAATTCCTTCTTGGTTCCTTTTATAACTTCCATTTCTTTGCTGAGATTTTTTATTCTTTCATCTGTTTCAAGAGACTTTGTAACTGATTGCTGAAGCATTTTTATGACAGCTGCTTTAAAATCC